TTGCACTTCATTTGAGAATTCTTGAGTTACCCTACTCTAAGGACCTCCTGGAAAACTTTTATGAACACCCACCTAAATTTTGAGAATGTGACTATCACTGTACAAAGAATATCAGTCCTTATATTAGCTTTATTATGAATAATTAAACCCTCAAGTCAAGTTTGTTGCAGAATTGTATGGTTGTCCCCTGGAAGATACCATGCCACTTCACTTATGGGGAACTTATTGTTTTAGTCATGAAGGATTTTGAGTAGCCTTCACAAGATTGATTAGTTTGTCCAGATCTTGCCATGAGGTTCAGCAGGTCTGCACTGACCAGAAGGGGAAATGCCACAAGAATAATTCAAACTGACAGGCTCTGGAGACCTCCATGAGGAGCCAAGCATCGAGGCTTGGCTAACAGAGAAACTGCTAACAGAGAAAATCCAGCTCTGCCATGGGCTGCTGACCTCGGTGTTCAACAGTGCAGACTGATGTAGTGCCTGGAAAGAGGTTTTCCCAGGCCATATTAAGGTTTGGGAATCAGCTGGCAGCATCTGTTCAAATACAGCCCTTCAGACTGCTTTGGTTTTGTAGTGGCTCTCAGTAAATTCTCTTTCCTTGAGCCCATTCCAGCTCCTGGATGTTATAACTGGGAATGAGTCACTTCAATTACTTCCCTGTCCTTAGAAGAGAAAACCATGGGGGCAGTTTTGACTAAGATAATACTTCTGGAGGGGCACACATGTAAATTCATTTTTTAAAATCAAGATTCAGTATTACAGTTAAAGTTTAGACCTCTAAATTAATCCAATATTTTGTATTTCTGTATTGTTTTTTTAATGACTTACACATAACTCAGTATCAGTCTCAGAGAAGGGCAGATTTTTTTTACTTTTTGAAGTCTGTATGAACCCAAAGCCAGTGACAGAACAAGAGGGGGAAAACTTCATCACAGTAATCAGATGGTAGACTGTCTGTTTGGCACTCTGCCCGGAAACTTGCAAACTCAATTAAATGCACATATGGTCCATAGCAGGTAAAATCAGTCTTTGCCAACACACATTCCTCTTACAGGACTTCCAAGCTGTATCCATGCTAGATAGCTTTTTCCACACAGATGATTTTTCCACTTCTCCAGCAGCATCAGCTCAGCATATTGTCTTCTCTGCCCTGGAAGGATACAGGGAAGAATGCCAAGGTGAACATCAGTTTGAACTCCACAGGGGTGATTTTTCTATTGAGGAGTTTTGTTGAGGAAGACAGGTATGTAGATACCTAGATTTAATGAGCAGTGCCAGTAGAATTAATAAATCTTCTCAATACTCCCTGAAGCAGCTGCTCTATTTTGAAATAATGAGCATATGGTTTCATTATATTTCATTGATTTGATCCCCTTCAGCTAAAGAAATATTCCAGGGGAATGCAAACAACTTACAGAATTTCTGCATATTTCTCACTCTTTTTATTTTTCCTGGCTAAATGGAAAGCTGACTAGCATGTAAAAGGAAGAGCCAGAGGCAGCATTCATATTCCTTAACAGGGGTTGTGTGAGGGGTGATGGGACCTCCAACAATAATGAGGACTTGTGTGTGCCTTGAAGCTGCAGTGCTGGAAGGTTTCCTCAGAGGTTTTGTTTCTGTGAAATAAACTGAAAGAAACAAGCTCAAGCCGGACTAACACGACGTATAAGCTGTATCCAATATTTAAAATTTCTCTTTAGAGGCAGAGAATGGGCAAGGAGGAGGCTGAGAAAACATCAAAGCAGCTTGTTGATCTAAAATATTCAAAATCTATAGTAAGAAAGGAAGTTATGAGTTAATTTTCAATTGTTTACAAGAACAAACCTTTCAAAGCACAGCAAAACATGTTTTACTTTCAAAGTTGCTAAAGCCATTTCCTTGCCCAGCTGTTTAGAGGGGAAACTGCATTCAGCATTTTGTCCACTGTGCATCCTGCTGCCAACATTAGAAAACCAGGACCTGAAGTGAGAGTCATTTGCATTTTTTTTTAATAAAATCCTCTTAGAAACTGATTTTGAGCAGCTACAAGGTCATAGACTACCTTTATAGGTAGGAGTCAGAATAAATCAGGAAAACTTAAATGAGTTTAAAAGTTTTAAAGGAGTCAGAATGAATCAGGAAAACCTACATATGTTTTCCTTAAGTAACCAGATAGTCTTGTTCACCTCTGGTGCCTGGAGGGCAGGAGCCATTCCTGGAAAATCTGGTGGCTGAGAGGGAGGTACCATGTTCTTTAGGTCATCTGTGGGGAAGATGTACATTCTGCTTCCTGTTTCTTGTCCCTCTTTCTTATTAATTTCCATTATATTATTCTGCAATAAACATAGATTAGTATCTTCTACTATTTAGCCTGTCTTTTAAATGCATATATATATATATATATATATATATATATGCACCATATATATGCATAGTTATACTGAATACATTACAGTTTTTTGGGAACAGAAAATCATGTCGTAATAGTCAATGAGATTCTGGCTTTTTACCTAAAACAGTGATACAATATTGCTGAAAGTACTTCCTTTTTTATTTAAATAAAATAAAATCTGTTTTTAAGAATCCCTTTGAGACTGAAAGGCATTTTCCCATGTTGGTATTTTAGAAGAAAAAAATCCTTCTGTTTTCAATGCATCAGGAGCTTTCTCACCTACTTTAAACACCTACTGCTTTATTGGGTAATTATTGAAATTGTGAAACCAAAGCAAACTGATTCACTTCCAGGTCTTTGCCACGTTTGAACCAATTATGTCCAATTGTAGATTCAGACTTAGAAACTACAAGACCAAGAGGAAATCCATGGTGGTATTTTTTATATACAAGAATTCTATGTTTTTAGAACAAGAAGGCCTATACTTCAATTTATTTCCAGCAGAAATAAAAGTGGTCTGTGTTTTGATGGATTGCAAATTGATACTAGGGTCAGTCAAAGCCATCTTTTTCTCTATTAGAACAAGCAAAATAAGCTTGGACATCACAAAAAAGTGAAACAAACCATCTTTAGAAACCAAATTAATCTCCCCTGCCCTTAAAATGTATGAGTAATATTACAGTTGCTACCAAACTCAATTGAAAAATTTATTTTAGCATCTGTGGTCCTGCAGAAATTGTGGCAGGTGATGTCTGCTCCTTATGTCTGACATGCAAGTGGCAGGGAGACAGATGAATGCAGCACCTCTCTTTTTGTGACATAATCCATACACTATTAATTTTTGTTGCTGCTCCAAAGCTGTGGAACAGATGTTATTTTGAACTGAAAATCACCATTCTGATATGAGAAGACGCAATCCCTGAACTACCCAGTCAACTAATTAATGCAGCATAATTTAATAAAGGATGGTAATTACTCAGTTTTCCCCATCTTGTTCCCCTCCCTGCTAATGATAACATTATCAAACTTAGACAGGGGGTGGTGAGAGTGTGTGTGTGTGTGTGGAAGGAGATAATTTACAATGGAAGAGGATGAGTAAGCAGATGAAGCAGCAAATGTTTCAATCCAGGAACAGCCTTCTAAAATCTTCTAATTTCCTATATTGGGGGAACTGCAATTTCACAGTGTTAACCAAAATAATAGTGACAACACAGTTGTTAAAAGAGGTAGAGGGAAAGCAGATAAAAGAGGTTAGTCTTCATGCATTTATTTATCACATTTCATTTTTATTGAAATTTTGGTTAATAGGCAAACGTATTTGTGGACAGAAATGGAAAAACCTCCTCCACAGGCTTTTTTTTTTTTTTCTCCCTTGTTACATCTAAATGGACAACGATGTCCCATCATAATCAGCAAGATCAATCTGGGAAGCAGAAATAGTTCCTTAGGCACTTTTCAAAAATTCCGCCATATGGTGCAAGAATTTCTTTATTAAAAGGAAGGTGCCAAAAGGTGTTGCAAGCATCAATACACTAATCCAAACTTCTGAAATCTCCTCCTGGCATATTAATACTCTTTTGCATCTTTTAGAACATCTCAAAGGACTCCAAGAACACCTGTATATCCTCTGTCCAATAATAAAATATTTGAGTCATTATAATCTGGTCACATTTTCAATCTTTTCATTTGATCTAAGCTTTAAAAAAAGCATATGTTCTCCTAAAGTAAAAAGATGCTGAGCAACAACAAGTTATGTAGTAACTGCACTGCTGGAAACATATGATATGAACTAAAAAAATAAGAATTTTTCTGAGTTTATAAGCGTCACATTTAAAAATAAAAAAATCCATTTAAAATCCATATTCATTGGGTAATTTTCCTAGAATTTGGATTGAATTAGATTAGATTAGATTAGATTAGATTAACTCTTTCTATAGTTGCTGTACTATTGTTTCTACTGTCTGAATTTTTAGCTTGATTTGCAGCCTAAATATCTCACTGAAGGAAGGGTTTGAACTAAGAATAATGAATTAAATTAATTTACTACTAATTTGTAGAATTTTTCAAATAATACTTTCTATTGATAAACATAATAGAGTACTGCTTAAGTGGTAAATTTCAATTTAAGAAATTATGTGTAAAGCTTCATGTTTTCTTAAGATATTCACAGATATAAAATAAATATTTTCAGACTGCTAAATATACTTAAGATGTTTTGAACTGGGAGCCTATAAACTCTTATAGAATAACTTCTCACATTCATCCTGATTCTGAAGGCACTTAACTACCTACTCAGGGAGGAACAAAGACACTATGAAGGGTAGGTCAGTGGGCAAGAACAGTGGGCAAACACTCTTTTTAGAGACTTTTTCTCCCAGATATCTTATTTGTATTCATCTTGAGTCCCCTCTTCCCTTTATGCATTATATTTTCATAAAATAACTGGTTTAGAAATGAAAATTCTTTTCTATTTTTTATTTATCTCTGTGTACTTAGCAGACGGATCTGAGGTAAAAAGTCTGTAAAGCCTCCTTTTTTTTTTTTTTTCTCTGTGTACTTAGCAGACGGATCTGAGGTAAAAAGTCTGTAAAGCCTCCTTTTTTTTTTTCTTATCTGCTTAATTTCAGAAGATAAGACAGTGATGGTCATGCTGCAGGAAATCCAGATTGGCTGCTACATACCTGACTTAAAAGAGAGAGAAGACACATTCCCCATCATAGGAAGGACATGGACTAATGGGAATGAGTCCAGAGTAGAGCCACAAAGATGACCAGAGGGCTGGAGAACCTCTCAATGAAGACAGGATGAGAGAGCTGGAGTTCAGCCTGGAGAAGAGGACATCTCAAGGAGACCTTGCAACACATTCCAATGCCTAAAGGGGGCTGACAGGTGATACAGTTTGCCCAGAAATGTTGTGGATGCCCCCTCCCTGGAAGGGTTGAAGGCCACATTGGGTGGAATTTTGAGCAACCTGGACTAGTGGAAGGTGTACCTGCCCATGGAACTAGAGGAGAGTCAGAGTCCTTATCTCAGTCTGTGGCAAAATGTCTGGGGACCCAATGGACAGGTAATTTGGGATACAATTAGAAAAGACTGAAGAGTTCTATTAACATTTTAACAGGAGTTATGATAGTACAGAAATTATTGGGTAAATCCAGTGGGTGCTCCACAAACATACACACACACACACCTGCCAAGGGGGATGGAATGGAGGGTGGAGCAGTGGGGAGACACTGCAGCCAGGATCTGTGGAAATCCTTGCAGGGAAGGGAACTTGGTACTTTCTGCCTGGTACACATACCAGGAAGAAAAAGGAATATGTCAGACTGCTGAGCCAGCAACTGTAACAAAATCCCTCTTAGATGAGCTTGCTTCATTAAACCTAATAATAATAATAATATGAACACATACCTCCATCCCAAAGTTACCCACCTCCAAGGTTCAACCACCCCTCACTGGACATGCGCTCTGCATTCATTTTGACTTTAAAAGTGAAGTGAGAGAATTTCACACAATCAGTAACAAAGGTATGCATGACTAGAGTCACTCAAGCTCCACCTAAGCACAAAGATATAGTATGAAATAAACCAAGAATGGTGAAAGGTCAGGGAGGACTCCATTGTAACCGCTGGGATCAGTCGATGAGCTGAGCCTGTCTTCTCCATAGGGCCAGCTATTGGGTAACAATCTTACTCTATGCACTCTGAATATTCTTCTGAGGATTACTGTTTGTTTGTGTATTCTTTCAAGTATATTTTTGCAGTCAGACACTATCACTGACAACCTTTGAACCTTAACCTGTCACAATTTTATATTAGTAAGAGTTTTATTCCTTAACTTGTTCGTGTGAGTCCTTTGCAGACACTGGCAGTCACTAGCAGCAGGCAGCACTCTAATGAAGAGGAAGACCTGCTGAGGGGTTTCCCTTACACTGGTGGTGTGTTTCCCTGAGTCAGTGGAACCACTCTCCTATCCAGCAGGACTTCTTAGTGGAGAACCCCCCTAACAGGATGCTGACAGTCTAGTTGGGCACAAGGGTCTTGACTTTCCTGGGACGCTTACAGAAATATTAAACACTAGGAGCCCAGTAAAGCTCCCCACACAAAGGGCTGAGGGAGCCTTCCCTTTCCACGTGACACAATCATTATGGATGTGATGGTAAAGCAAAGAGGACTAGATTAAACAAAGAGATATTCATGCATTTACAGGGATGAACATGAGAAATAAAAATGTAAATCACCTCACAATTCAGCAAGAACCTGGGAAGAGAGCAGAATTAAAGCTTCTGATAGCAGAATTAGGACTGTTTAATCCAAAATGTAAAGTTCTTAAAAGCACTTCAGTTTCACCAGGAGGTTTAACTTTCCTTGTCACTGGGTAGTCATTAGAAACAGCACAGCTGAAGTGTGCATACCATAGTGATCTCAAGCAAAGGGAAGTCTGAAAGGAGAGACACACTGTAAGGTTTGAAACCAACCAAATAATCCTGGCTGCAGATGATGAATAGCTCCTTAAAAATGAGTAATGCCAATTTCCAATGACTTGGCTAATGGGAACTGAGTATGCTCACAAAGGAAAATGTGACAATTCCCTTAAATCTTAGTAGGAATTAAATTCATGGAGTGTTGAGTTTCCTTTCCTGTCAGCAAGTGGGAAAGCCCATGACTGGGCTTGGGCTGTGGCTTTCTTTTCATTGCAAGGGACACTCTGGCCTGTCTAGCAGCACATATATTCTGAATTATGAACACCTGCTTAGTAAAACTCAAGTGTGCTCAAGCAGAGGCTCTCGACAGAGAAGCCTGTCTGAGATCCCTTACAAATAAAACCTCACTGAAAGTACAGTAGTTACACATCACAATCACATAACATCAGGAAAAATAATTTAAATTAATATATGCCTTTTTTTACCGTAACCTTGTCATGACTATACTAGAGCACAGTCTAATCCTATTAGCTGCAAGCAGAGCAGGCTTGAGCCTCTAATATTCCATCTTGTGACAGAACCATTCTGGTATATATTAAATATTAGGCACGTCTGTCATTTGGTATATAGGCAATACCAGGAATAAAAAGTTGCATTTCCGAAAGACTTTGGGGCTTCAAGTCACTCTCATTTTATATGAGATCTAATGGGGTGTATGTGTATGTGTGTGTGTGGTATGTGCAGAAAATCTAAAATCTAAAACATTATTGTAAAAAATATTTTAAAATATTTTGGATCCAATGAAACAGTGAAACAAAGGCATTTTTTATAATTTTAAAATAAAAATAAATATTTTACAAATAAAATATTTAAATCAATTTAAAATAAAATAATAAAAAATTATAATTAAAATGTGAAAATAGAAGGTTTTGAAAGTATCAGAACTTTTTGCCTTCTTGTTTCTTTTTAGGAAAGAATGTATCAGGGAAATAGAAACATTGACATTACCATTTACTATCTGAATGTTTGACAAGAAGTCATGATGCAGTATGAAGATTTATTTGGTTTGGTTTGTCTGCCAATACCAAATGAAAAATAGAGAAATGCAACTGCATTTAACTTAACTAAATTAATTAACTTAGACTTCTCATCTTGAAAGTGTATAGATGCATCTCTGTGGTAGGGATCCATGCTTATATACAGACCCAGTGCTTTCAACTGATTTCCTTTTTATAAATTTCCAGCCATGTCAATCGTGCATTGTATGGTCACAGGGTTTCTTCGTCTCAAGTTCACTGACCTAAGCCTTCACTGAAAAAAAAGCGATTTGTTACTGCTAAGATGTGTTAGCAACTAATGTACGTTTCTAATTTCTTCCTTATTATTTTTTGCAATTTCTTGCACTCATTAAGTAAATTGGTACTTTAGAGTAAGAAATGCAAATTTTAAACAAGATTAGTCTGCAAGAGCAATACAAAGTAAAGCAATAAAACATCACTAATAGCAAGAAAAAATAGAGATAACATTCATGCAATCATAATCTTTTAGGGTATAGAATTGTTATAGTGGCTCAAACCCACTACCAGAGTTCTATTATACCTCTAAAGTAGTGTCTGTTGGGTAAGAAGCTTATTAATAGAAATAAATAACAATATTGTGACCCAGGAAGATTTAAAGACAGATGAAATGTCTGTAGATTGAAGCAGAGCTTTCATAAATTCTGAATTCTTGAGCCAGAATTATATTTAATTTTATTGAAGTGAATCTGGGATGTTTCCTTATAAAATTGCAGACATAAAATACAATACAAGTTGTTTCATGGGTATCAATTAATATGTACTATGTTGATGCTGATTTGATAGCTCTGAATGAGCAATAAAAATGTTTCAATGAAACAAAGCATCACTATTTCGTAAAATTATTCTGAATAGTGAAAAGCCACTCATCACAAGACAAAAAATGTATTAAAGCAATAAATAGAGGGTCATCTCTCTTATATTCATGAACTAAATTCCTGGGAAATTTAATTCTATTCAGTCCACAGCAATCAGCCTTACATGACTAAATCTTTGCACGACTTGGAAGGTGGCATATGTTTTGCAGAAATGTGTTGCATTTGGTTTGTAGCAGTTTATGGCTAATTTTTAATAGGAAAATGTTACAGGAAAAAAATCATTCACTCTAATACTAAGAGTGGCTTTGATAGCACATAAAGGCTATGAGTGTTAGTGCTTATGGATAACACAGCAGGAAAATACATGGAATCTGGTCATAAAATCTAGCAGAAGATGACAGACTTCATAGTTCTGATGTTTGGTTTGTCTCTTCATATCAATTACCATTATAATTCTTGTCCATCTATCCTCATATGTTCTGATTTACACCCAACTGCTAAATATGGTCTCTGCTGTATTCATGATTTACCAATTAGCCTTTTTTTGACACAAAGCTACTTAATATGGATATTATGGCAATGCTATAATATGAAGGGTTGTACTAAAAATAAATAAAACCAAAAATATATTGCACCACTGAGAGCCCAGGTGCTCTGTGATTCACTGAGCAGATAATTTCAAAAGTGGCATTATCCTTTTCTTTTGCTGTGCTTTTAGAAGGTTTTAACTGTGATCTTTACATTTCATACTGCTTTATTGTGCTTAATTATCTTCTATGTCTTCTGCCCTTAGAGGTAGATGAGTGGCAGTTCTTCAGTTCTTGAAATGGAGGATGTCACGTGCATTTCATCTCATTTACTCAAAGCATAGAAGGAGGAAAAAAGTTGCTATGGACTTCAAACACCTGCCAGTGACAAATTACTTCAGATCCCTTTTGGAGCTATTAATAACCATGGCTGCAATTTCAGCTCTTCCCAAGTGAGGGGAAGCATTTTAAATGAACTAGTGCAGTGGGTGGTGAGAAACTCCTTGACGCACCTCATGCATTTTTCATCATTATTTTATGCAATTATTTGCCAAGAAAGAGTGCAACAGCAAAGACTCCTTTTCAATTCCTTCAACTCCACCTGACTACATTTTAATTTCCTAATCTTTTATTCTAGGTTACATACATATATATGTTACAGTTTTTCTGTAGGTTTTGAGCACTAGATCTGGAGATTAAAATTTTAATTACGGTCACAAAGTCACCCTGGGCTTGCTGGGATGAGGAGCAGAAATTTGTGTTGTCCCTCTTGATATTACTAAAAACTCTTGTCAGACAGAAGCCAAGTTTCAGACTACTGCATGAAAATTGTTTCACAAAACTCAAGGAATCCTGGACAATCTTCCTAGCTTTATCTAGCATTTTGATTTTTTCAAAGTTCAGTTTGCACTTGCACAGAGAAAACT